ATAAGACAGTTAGGAAAACTTGTTATGATAGATGAATTAGTTTATCAATGTACTCGCCTCTCAGCTCCCAATTCACTTTATTTTTTTATTTTTTAATATATATTTTTATTTATTTTTACAGAGAAGAAGGGAGAGGGATAGAGAGTTAGAAACATCGATGAGAGAGAAACATCGATCAGCTGCCTCCTGCACACCTCCTACTGGGGACGTGCCCGCACCAAGCTACATGCCCTTGACCAGAATCGAACCTGTGACCCTTCAGTCCACAGGTCGACGCTCTATCCACTGAGCCAAACCGGTTAGGGCCCAATTCACTTTATACTGCCCTGCTTTAGTTACTAGAACATTTCTCTTACTGGCTGCCCAAGCTTAAGTTTTGTCAGTAGAGGGCACTGGAGGTACTTTAGAGGAAGACGGAGTTTTTCTTTCAAGTTCCAGTGTGTAACTCAAGGCTTATTCCTGCGGCATACAGGACCCAATATCCTTTCCCCACAAGCTGAGACTATGGTGAGGCAAGAGAGATGCATAAAATTTGAGTGTGAGTGATGCCTTAAATTTGGGGCATCTGTTTAGATTTAATCCCAGGCATCACTATAGTCTGGCCCTAATCACCCCAGTGAATTTAAGTCATATCACCCCCACATATGGCTTGCCAGTAAGTTCCACCACCATGGCAACTCAGTTAGTGTGGAGATCTTCCAGATTTGTTCCTATCTTGGATGCTCTGCCTTAGTACTAAAGGTACTAAATTTATTAGTATTTTTATAATCAAAGAAAAAGACAATAAAGTTACAAATTTAAAAATCAAATTATTGCTGCTCAATGTGTGTTTTTCTTCTGAAATTGCAACCAAGCGAAGATTAAGCATGTTGGGGAAACATGTATATTCCAATTAAATTTGTTATTTTTATTTGTATTACACGAAACAGCTACCATTAACTGTGCTAGACTTTGTGCTGAATACTTTAACCTAAATGAGAACTTATGAGATTAATGCTAACATCTGAATTTTGCAGGTGAGCAAAGTGAGGCAAAGAACTGTAACTACCCAGAAGTTCTAGTTAGAAAATGGAGAACAGAATTCAAGTTTGTGTGGCTCCAAAAACTTAACACTTTCCCAAACTATTATATAAAAACTAAAGAATAAAAGCAAGAATATAATCTATGGCATATTCCAAAGAGAAAAAATATTACAGAAAAAGTGGATTCTAAGCTAGATATTACAAAATAGGCCAAGATTTGAATAGGGATATGACATGAAGTGACAAATACAAAGACACGGGCAACTACAGCACACTGAGAGAAGAGACAGTCTAGGGAAAAAGATAAGAAGAAATGAATGCAGTGGGTTCAAATCAGAGGTCTTTAGGTGGTGATAAAGATTACACCTGACTAGGAATGAGGGGGTCACAGAATTCATGATCAAATTATATCAGTCTAGAAGCAATATCTTAGACTGAAAAGAAAAGGGAGAAGGCAATGAGACCATTTCAGATGCTACTGCAATATTCAAACATGACATGATAAAAGACTGGGTGAGGAACAAAGAAATGTGAAAGTATTGCATTAAAAAAAAAGGACAAAGATTAAAGAGATGAGGAATCCATTATTATACCAAAATTTTAAGATCAGATGAGAAAGATTAATGAGCAAGTCTCATTAACAAGAATAAAATTGATTAAAAGGAGAAAAATATGGGATAAAGTTCTTTTTCTAGGTACCTATTTCTGACTATTATAGTCATTGTTCCCATACTTGTTAACATTTTCACTACCATTTCTTTCTCATTGATGGCTTCTTCTCCTCTACCTTCTAGTGAGCCTAGATCATCAATTGCCCCTCCATCCCCTTTCTACCTTTGAATAATCTTCATTAGCTCTATCTCAGTTTTAGCAATCATACTACTTTTCACTCTTTTATCTGCCATCCTATCCTATATAATAAAAGCCCAGCGACTACAATGGCAGAACAACCAGAACGACCGCTCAACCAGTCACTATGAGGTGCACTGACCACCTCTTGGTTTCTCCCCCCAGCCGGCAGGCTCCCACTGCCCGGTGGTGAACAGGGAACCAGAGTGGGTGGCAGCGGGGCCGGCGAGTGGGCAGAATGGCTATCCTCTTGGTCCCTCCCCCTGGCCGGCAGGCTCTGATCGTCCGATGGCAAACAGGGACCCAGGGGTGGGTGGCAGGGGATGCAGGCGGCACCAGGCCAAGGCCCCTGCCCTGCTGGTCGCCCCACACACAGAGGGTGACCCATGGCAGGGGCAGGGCCACGAGCGGGCAGGATGGCCGACCTCTTAGTCCCTCCCCCCTGGCCGTCAGGCTCCGATCACCTGCCCTATGGCAAACTGCGAACCTGGGTGAGTGGCGGCGGGGGGCAAGGCCGGCTGCTGGCTGCCAGGGAAGATGGCCCGGATCACAGGCTAGGCCTAGGGACCATACTCGTGCACGAATTTCATGCGCCAGGCCTCTAGTCTATATATATAAAAGGCTAAGTGACCGACCACACGTCTGTACATCCAACCGACCTGCTGGTATATATATATGATGCTCACTGGCAATTTAAAAATAAACGTTGTTGCCCTGGCTGGTTTGGCTCACTGGATAGAGCGTCGGCCTGGGGACTGAAGGGTCCCAGGTTCGATTCCGGTCAAGGGCATGTACCTTGGTTGCGGGCACAACCCCAGTGGCGGGTGTGCAGGAGGCAGCTGATCGATGCTTCTCTCTCATTGATGTTTCTGACTCTCTATCCCTCTCCCTTCCTCTCTGTAAAAAATCAATAAAATATATTTAAAAAATAAAAATAAACATTGACTCGTGCATGCGTGATACATTTAAAGGTCTCGTTGCATGCGTGATACATTTAAAGCTCTCGTTGGTGCCAATCGCACGCATGTGTTTTG